TCCCTACGCTATCAGCAGTGTGTGCCAAGGGCAATGGTGCTCCATACAGGGCAATTAGGTTACCAGTTAAAAGGGGGTGCAAAGCACTTCAATTCAATTTTGCCACAAGACCTTGCCGCAAGATCCTGACTTACAGGGGATTTCAGACATTAACAAGAAAAGCTGATTACATACAAGGAAGGCTGACAGAGCAGCCGTTCTCCCCACAGCTCTCATCTGCTGCTGCATCTCAGTTACTGCTGTTCTTGAGCTTCCCTGGGGGATTGATCTCAGTAAGTGGACACAAGCCTGCTAACTGTAATTTTTGTTGATCCTTCAGCTGCCTAATAATGAAGATTTTTTGCTTTATCTTTCTCTTTTTAAAATATGCTTAGGGCTTCACTTGAAGGGCTGAGGCAAAGAGCAGTCTATTACGTATCCAGCAGGACCAGCTCTGACCCACTCCTCTACAGAACATTCAATAGTTGCTCACCTTCCTGTACAGGGATCCTAACACAGATCCTACTGGCTCCTCTTAAGTCAGCGGTTGATTTCCGGGGGCCAAAACACTACTCTATATTGGGGCAATGCTCTATTAGGTGTATTTTGCTTATACAAGGGGCTTCCCACAAATGAGATGAAGCTTATCTAGGAACCAGTCAGAACTCTTACCTGCATATTCCAATGTTTGAAGGCTTTAAGTTATAACAATCTGTAATAGTATAGTTACAATAGATAATAAAAGTCATAGTTAAAGCTGGAGTAGGGGACTTCAGGACACATACGATTTGTTAATAGTGGTCATCACACACACTGTATTGTGCAGTAAGATTGTCCGCGCTATTGAAGTTATGAGCACACCTAAACGCTGTTTTCACGATTATTTCAAAACTTTTCTCCCGACTAAATTTGTCTGCCTCTTCAGATAGCAAACGTGGAAGCACAGTCCAGTTATAACTGGAGATTAGTCTCAGGAGAGCACACAAATGAGTGTGTCACTACCATATGATTAGACGGCACAGTGCACTTTACTGACAGAGCGCTTATGATCTGCCTGATGCATGTCTAAGGAAATCTGCAGACTGCCAGTAAGAACCTACATGGATGAGAAGCAGATGAATCTGGGAACATACTTAACTTCAAGACTCTCCTAAAACTGCTCTCTGATGTACACTTTCCCTCAAAGTCTAGGGCTCTCTTAATCTCTAATTGAATGATTCTGTTTAAGGTAGTCAACAAATATTTAGAAGATTCTATATTAAGTTAGGCAAATACATACACTTACCACAAGTTTTGTTTTGCTGAGAATGCAGCTTTCTGGATCCACCACAACAGGCCATCTAGCTTGTAACGAAGAAGACAGAAGCACATCTGTTCGTCACAGGAAGGGCAGGGCTAAGTCTGCTTATCTAAAGAGTCTGAAAGTTTGAGATAACTTTTTTGCCCTAGAAAAACTGTCCTTGCTTAAAAGTTATGTAATGAATATGATCGTAATAACATTATGCAATGAACCCTAATAAAATCTAGTACGTATAACAGCTAGCCTAGCAAGATAGAAACCACTTATACATTTTAGTTGTGTTCCTACTGCCACAATAAAATATTGAATCTAAGAAAGTTGATTCTCAGGGAAAACAGCTTTTACATAGGTGGAAAAATTTTTCCAAGTTCTTACTAAATCCAGGCTCATGCACCATCCACAGGAGACTTCATAATAGTACTTCCTCATAAAGGGATCTGGGAAATTTGGGATATATCAAGATGAAGTACGATAATCTATATCCAAGGTAGGCATTTTGCCGAGGTCCTGTGTCCAGAACTCTCTCTAATAAAAGAATGTAATGGAGCAAATTTAGTTTGTCATACATACCTAAACTAGGATCAGGTTGCTGCTTAGCATGCCTCTAGAAAGCCTATCTCAATATTCAGTTCACAAAACCTCCTGGCTCTGAAGAAAAAGCTGATTTGTTGCAGGATGCGGAGATTTTTGTTTGGGAGGCATCCCACAATGGACTGTTCTGAAAGATAACAAAAACCTTGACATATGAAAAAAAAATATTTCCTAGCCCGCTCAAGATATTAAACATGGTGGATACTTGAGCTTTCACGGACAACTTGTACACCAGCTTTAGAGCATCTTGAAAAACTTTGCATATATTTCACCTAAGAAAGTACACTTCTCTCTTCCCACATTTGAAATTGGGTTTTCATACCTTCTTTAGTTCACAGGAGTGATTAAAAACTCCTGCGCAACACCTGTACTACAGCTTTCATGAGGCTGTAGCCAGCAGTAAAGTAAAAGAATCTCAATTTTACTTTGAAACACTTTGGTTTCTGAGCATTAAAGGAAAAGTCCAAGTGCTCTACTAGGGTAGCGATGTAGTCTATTTTCAGTCTATTTAAATTGGCTGTTTAATTATTAATTGGACTAAGCAAACAATGCAATGTTTTCTCATGATTTTTATATTTGAGGTTATGCTGAGAATGCAACTTACTGTTGGTTTTTTTTAGTGTGACCTGATATATTTCACACACTCTGTGCCTCCTGAAAATTTCAGCTGACCCTCCAGTTCTGCAAACAGCCACTCAAACTTCTGTATTGTATTTAGCCCAAGCACTTTTGTATGGTTATCCATCTGCCAGATGTACATTTGCAACAGCATGTAAACAGAAACTTGTGAGGGTAAGAGTGTTTCCAGAAGGAAAAATGTACACATATATATCTCTTCATAGGGAAGAGGAGAGAGGGGAAAAAAAACCCCAAAAAACAAAGCAAATCTTCATCTCTGCTTCAGGACAGCATGACTGAGGACTTTCTTGGTCTTGAGAAGTGATTCTAGAAGGAAGATACTGAATGCTGTAGAAATTATATTAGTCAACTAAAATGCAGCTCAGGACAGGAAGAATTATATTTCGGCTTTTTCACGAAAAGAAAGCCAGACTTCAAAGACAGTATACACGACAGGATGAGTATATAAAATGAGCATCCTATTCTAGGGGAATGCAAAATAACCTTTGGATTACTAAGAAACTACTCTACTTGCCCGTTTCATTAGGATTTTCAAAATGACGCGATATTTTGTGCAGGACAGGTCATAAGTTTGCATGACTTTGGCTTTTTAGCTAGGAATAACAATGTCTTGCATATCTAATTTCTCTTAAATGTTTATTTGAGAGTACGAGCAGATATTGCTCTAAACAGATCATGGCTTGGCTAACAGTTACAACACAATTTTGAAGAGGCAAAGTTAGCTCAAAGGCCAAGCAAACGTGAGGACTTCTACAGCATAAGCAGTATTGCCAAACCTTGAAGCATCTCCTCTTTTAGGCTTAATAAAAGCCAAGGAATGATATAAGGCTTAAGATAATACAAACAAGTTTTTTTTTTTTTTTTTTTTTTTTTTTAAAAACAGGTATTTTAAGAAAGCAGGAGCCTGATTTTCCATGATTTTTCTGTGTGCAATAAATAGCATGCTACTTTACAATGAGTCAGACAAAAATCTAGAAGATCATTCATTTTATTACGTAGCTGAAAACATGAGAACAACCTAAAACTTCAAAGTAAAAAGCAAACAAATGTTGCTTGTTATCCAAGGCACTATAATATAAATAACAATTACAGATGCTATATATTTAAAGATACAAAAATATAAATACTGTTAATCTACATGACAAAACAGCAGATTTTCCCATGTATAAACCTTAGATTTAAAAATGTTAACCTTATTGTCATTGCACTACCTTTTATGACTGAAAATAAAAACCATTTCTTTAGTGACACTTACTCAGAATATGTCCCTACTATATCAGCATAGTAAGTATGAGTACTCAAAACATTATAAAAATTTTGCTGCATTATGCAACAGAAGTTTGGCCTGGGTGTTTCTGATAGAACGAATCCTCACAAACCTTACTCTGTAAGGTCTGAATACTTTCCGGAGCTTGAAATGATCCATGAGAGACCAAAGTCTGGCTGAATTGCCGTAACATGACTTTGACATGGGACTGTTAATTTGTTAACTAAATTACCATTCTCAATTACTGATAGCATCAGATTCCTGAACAATATTCCCGCTTTAATTGTTGTATCTGAAAAACTTCCAAAGCAGAATGAATTAAAACATTGTTTTATTACTAGCAAACGCAAAGAATCGTTGAAAAGGCAAAAAAACGTAGAACTGTACCCATTTGTCTTTTAAATGAGCTAATACAAAACTTACAAAGAAAAAGTTCTATTTAGTAGCTCGGCCTACTTTGCAGAAAAGAAATATGAAAGCAATCAAGATCATATAAATGCCACATGCAGCTCACTAACAAGAGTTTCAGCATTGATTCATAAAACTGATTCTTTGGGTGATTGAATATGGTTTAGTAGTTGATTGCAATAGACTGGTGTTCGATGCTTATGTACAACCACTTCAATTTCTCTCACGAGTAATTCTGGATATAAAATGCTTCCTTCTTTTAAAACTTCTGTAAAACAAAAATGTGTTTCACGAGTCATTAGTTGCCGTGCCCTTCTCTATCCAAGTTCCCTCAAAGTAGCTGTAGCCTAAGCGGGAAGCTGTGCTTCTACAAGCTGAGCAGTCATGACAACTTGATTCCCTTCTTTTTTGCTGAGGTTTGTATTCTGATGTCTATATGCTTGAACACAGACTGACACACCAATAAATACCACAAAATCCATCAAACAAGCCAGTATACAGTCATATGCTGCAACAGCTAGTGTCTCTGGTCTATACCCTGTTAACTACCTATAAAGTCATCTGCTACATCAGATATACTGATATTCCCACCCAGATGTATGCAAAAATGTAATGTTTCATGATGTAGCACTCGGGTAAAGGGCCTGAGCTCATATCCACCGAAACCCAAAGGAAAGCTTCCAGTGACTCCAGCCTGTTAGCATTAGTCTCTAGCTATATGCACTACTTTTAGAGAACACTTAAGAACATTATTTGAAAAAACACTCAAAAGTCTTACCTAGGACTGCATTTTGGATATTTTGATCTTGGTCATCCAGATGTATCAACAGTTCTTGGTACAGAAACCGAATATTATTTTGCATTACAGATTTCACATCATTGTCCTTTAAGCATTTGAACCAATTAGTTAAGGTGTGAGCAGCTGCTAATCGTACATCAGGTGAAGCATCATCTAGTCGCTTCAAGACTTCTGAAAAGGAGTATATTCATGACCAAATAGCAGTATGAACAGAGGTGAGAAGTCATCTTTCTATTTTGAAATAGAAATTTATTTTGTAATTACTGAAGTTACTATTGCATTTACAACATGCTTTTGTCTTTGAACTTTGGAATACATGAAATATATTGGTCCTAAAAGCATACAGTATATTATTTTTGGGTCGTTCTTTAAAAGCTAAAGTTTAGTTATGTTGTCAAAAATATTGAAATAAATGTATGAAATTATTCAGATTCAGCTGAACTTTCTCTAACACTCTACCTAACAAGGTACTATGTACGTTTACTAATGCATTAGAAAAATATAGAGAATTTAAGTATCATTTTCTATAAAGCACAGCATTTTTTAAATCAAATATTGCAGTTTCTGTCAATGACTTTGCATTCTCAGAGTATTTGAATATTCTGGATGCAAAGATATGCTTTGATAATTGTCTGATTACATATTTCTCCAAAGTAAAAGTGTTTATTGTTAGATTTCTGCTGTCCCACGTAATATCATTGATTAAGATGCCAGGTTTGGGAAAGGCTCGTTTATTTGCATACATCTCTGAGGACATAAATCCTGTTACATAGCATAGACTGTACTTCTGCAGATTTATTGTTCAGCAGTCAAATATCATCCTAAGAGGCATTACAGAAAATATATCTAAAAACTCCATTATTTATTCTATCTATTCAGATCTATTTATGGTACAAGGCCGTGGTTTGCTGTTGGCAATCTGAAACACAGCAAGGAGAACAAAGTGACTACCATTTATATAATGCATTACTGTCCTGCTTTCACTATAGTTAGAACATTATTTCATACAGTCTAAACTAGGAATTGATGCAGATGAAATACTGGCAAACCTTGTGATGACAATAATATTGAGTGAGGTTCCATCTAGTGGTTTAATGCATAATAACGTTAGGATACTTTGCTCAGTTTTGCTCATGGGGAGAAGTAAGCATTCAAAGAGAAGGCCACTGAATTATCTGCAGTACAGCACCTCAATTAAATGAAATACTGCAGTAAAAAGCTAGTGTAGAGCAGCCTCGTGAGATGCAAGTACTGTTGGAGCCGTACTTTAACAACATGTACTCCAGGTGTTTAACACCTTGATTCTCTAAAATGTATGCACATACTTCATATACTATAAGCAGTCTCACTTGACAGCCTAGGAACGTGTCTTAATCTCTGCAGGATTAAGACATTAAATTGTCTCTCTTACACAAAAATGCTACTAAATATATGCTATTGTGCTGCCCTTCACTTTTTCCACCTCCTTAATAGCTATAAAATTGTGGGGGAGAGCTACCAAAACAGATAGAATACCAGATAAGAACACAGAAATAGCCTGAGAATGTGTGTGTGGGAATGAAATAAGAATGGCTGAGAAGTAGAGTCGGCATAAGATCTGCCACTATTTGCATCTCAAACTGTTTATAGGTTTGTTGCTAGTGCTTTACATAGGATAAAGCTAGATGACACAGTGATATAAAATGTTTGTGCCGTTCCGTATGTTAGTGCCACCATTGTTACCAGCTGCAGTGAGCCTCCAGGTGAGGTGGACAACCTGCACAGTGAATCCTAAAGCTGGATAGTGAATCTGCCTACTCTTCCAGCACAATGCTTCTCATCCTTAAAAACAAAGCTCCTATGACACTTTAGGTGAAAAGGCAAATATAATTCTTCAGTTTGGAGACACTGACACCTCCATCAAAAAAATTAAACTTTTGCCATACCTGGGTAAGTGTTAATGAGCTTATCTGAATCAAATTGCCTCCCACAGACTTTTAAAAAAACATCAACAATACGACAAGCCATAAGTCGAGTCATTTTAGAGTCTTCATCCAAGGAGGCAATAATCTGAGGCATCAGCATACCTTCCACTTCTAAGATCTACAATTCACAGGAAAAACGTAGAAGAACAATAGCTTTTCAATCATTCTCAGACAATGTGTTTACTGGTTACATCAGTCCTAATTAAATCTGACAGATACTGGCTTGCTTAATTTATAAAAAACTTAACTAAAAGTTTATCTAATAATCTTGAAGTTATACAGCTTTATTTTTGTCTTTAACTAAGCTTGAGAAATGAAAATCCACCATTAGATCATCCAGTTGATGAATACTCAGTACGTATGCAGATGAGTTTTATGTAACTACTAAAAGCTTTAAACTTACTTGCCTTTTTATTAAAAAAAATTGTTGGCAAGACTTCCAATAATTTGGAGATAAGAATTATGCATATGTACCAGTAGATGGTGCTCTTATTCTAAACGAAAGTTTTAAAAATAAAGACTGTAATACAACATTTTCAGCGAGTTTCATAATTTCCCTTATTATGTACTGTATTTTGTATACATTAATGCAGCAAGGTATTTTCTGTTTCAGAAAAACGTCCTTGTTTAAACACAACAGCAGTGTCTGAGATGAGTGCTCCCTTATTATGTACATTTTGTATACATTAATGCAGCAAGGTATTTTCTGTTTCAGAAAAACGTCCTTGTTTAAACACAACAGCAGTGTCTGAGATGAGTGCTTTTGTATATGCAAAATTAACTAGTTCATGTGTTTAAGCACTTTGCTCAATTAAGGTCTGTTATAAAGGAAATAAATGCTATGAATATTCAATAACATGTCAGTGTTTTGGTTTTTTAACATTTATCAGTGCCTTTTTTCTGAATGTCATTTTTGCCAGCAAACAAGCTTCAAAAACCCTCTGATTAATTAATCTCTGATCATGGTAGATAACATATGCATACATACATACATATACATACATACACACATATATATACATATACATACATACACATATATACATACACACATATACATACACACATATACATACACACATATACATACAACAATGTATATGTTTGTTAGCTGTCAACTTCACAGTTCATACAGATATCCTTCAAGTTCCATTTTAACTCCCTTTGTCCTTTCCAGGCATCTTTTAGGTCTCTCCCCTAAATGGACCTCTGGGTTCCAAGGCAAACAGACTAGTTCTTTGCCACGTTACACTAAAGTATGTACTAGCTAGCTACAGTGCTGTTGCAAACACACTGGCTAGGGGTCCAATTCTGTCAAATATCCCAGTTGTTCTGTTGATAGTCTGTAATTGTTATTTTATGTTCTATAACTGATGTTATGCTACAACAAAGACCTACAAAATTTCGTGGAGGTGAATTCCACAGCTCACCCTATCATTGCAGGCCTGGGCCCCTTATCAGGATATCACTGTCCCCCACAACTACTGATCATATCAGTTACCAACACTCAATTGCAGTCAATGAATTTTATTACGAAAAGTATACATCCCTCTGATATATTATCTACTATTAGGATTTATTCTTCTTTCTGGCATTTATTTTGTTTTCCTGCCTAAGATTTCAAAATGCATCTGATGAGAAAGAAGGAATTTACCTCTTTTGGTGAAAGCATTTCACAATGAATAAGAGCCCAAAGGCACGATACAGCTGTAGTGCGGATGGCAGCTGCTGTTCTTCCAGCATGCCACTGCAGATTAGGAGCCAGTATGTCTTTTATCACAGTCTCAAGGTAGCTAAGAAACTGCCTAAAGCCAAAAACAAGAAAGCAAAATAAAGGTTCATGAGAAAGTGGTAGAGACTGACAGGATGTAAAGGAGAATTTTCTGTCATAGAAACAAATAGGCAGAACAGGAAAAAAAAACCCACTGTAAAATAAATAAATAAAATCTTATAAACCAACATGATTATAATGTCTGTGATAAGCCCTTCATAACTTAATTTTTCTAGGTAATATTTAAACAAATACTTAACATTTACAGAAGGGGGAGGCTAGACTTTCTTCCACTTCAGACTATGCCCATGACTCACTGTGTTATCTTGGTAAACTACTTACCTTCTCTCTGTCTCATTTTCTCTATCTGTGAAGTGGAGATAACACCCCATATGAATGCTGTGAGGATTCATTACTATTTGTAAGGCCCTTTGAGACTGTCCAATGGAAAGTATTTATAATGTGAAAAGTATGAATGCTATTGATGAGACCTGAACTTCTGATATTGCAGTGAGTCTACACAAAATACTTCAGCTTTCCCTTGGCTCAGAAACTTGTCTGCCTCAAGAATGTGAGGTCTGCAGGATTTTCTGATAGTGCCAGTTCCAATACAAGTTTGGTTTTGACTCCAACGATGCTGGACATGCTGTGTACTTGACCAATAAACAGTGATCTATTTTCAACATATACATAGAAATCTGATTTTCTCGCTGATGTTCTTTCCGCTTCCTCTACTGAATGGACTGTTATTATACTAAAAATCTTGTGAGAGCCAACAACTTGCAATAGGTAATATTCCTGCATACCCATATAATTCCAGCTCAACCATTTTAAATTAAGAGAAAAAGGTATAAATCTCAGACACAAGCCTTTTTTTTTGAAAAGGCTTTTGCATCAAAAAGACAAATCTCCCTGGCCTGAAAATACATATTTAAGGCTATGGTTACTCACTTTGCCTCTGTGCCTTAAAGAACAGCTGACAGCATGCAGAACAGACTGACTAATAACATGCTAAATCTACCTTGACTCGTGTCCCTCTCTGCTCAAACTTTCAGCAGATCTGGACTGCAGCCACCTGAGTGCAAAACAGCACATCATCACCCACGTGCTTGATAGAAAGGGAAGAAGCTGTTCCTCACAAAAGGGTCCTAGAACGGCATGATGAGTAAGTGGCTCCTAGAGAGATGTATCATGCCTCAGGAGGAACATAATGGACAGATGTCAACAACAAAGTACTTTTTTTTAAAACAAAACGAAAACATCCAGCAATGACAAACACTTCCATAATAATACTGCATCAATATAATAAGAAATGTAACTGTAGCTACTTCATGTTTCCTGTAACTACCCTTTACCCACTGCAGTTAGACCTTATCATCAAGATGTAATCTGACAAAAATAGGATCGGCTAGTCTGCCAGACCTTCATTATCTAGCTGTAGATATACAAAACTGAAAGTCTCCGTCTTCTACTTGCTGAAAATACACATACCTGGCTGCTGCTTAACCCCTTGGCTAAAGGGGCAGTCTGCGTTTGAGAAATGCGAGTCAGATACCAATTCTTGCTTCTTGTCCAGCAGATGGCACTTAAGATTCAGTAATAACAAGAAATCCAAAATCCCATTAGACACACCCAAATTTGTCAAAATCCTTAGATTATTTTAAACACATCTTTTTAAAGGTAATAATTTTGTATTCAAAAAGATGCCAGAAGAATGTTAATTATGATCACTGCTTTTCTTTACAGTTTAACAGACCTCTGTTACAGAAAAACAGAAGTGGCTGCTGGTCAGTTAGTACAGAACTGCTTTGGAGCTAAAAGGAAAATTTGAATGACAATCTGTCAAAACATAAAGGTAGATTCCATCAGCATTATGTTAGCCATAATGCTACGCTGTCTGTGAGAATACTTGTTCTAGTGCCTTTCATTAGAATCAGTGAAGCAATATCTGGCAATTAGCTTGTAGAGTAACGTCAATGACTACACAACTGTGTTTAGTATAATAACTGAAAGCCTTCATATATCAACTGTTAGAATGTTTTTAAGAAACTACACAAATTACTTCAAACAGTGAATGCAAATGTGTATTATCTCATATAAAGTAGGAATAAGTTTTGATTAAAGTTGATAAAAACCGTAATATCTCTAATTACCATAAAGACGTATTTTTCATTGTTGCTGAGGCAATTAAATTCTCCCTCTTTCCATTTTCAAATCTTATGGTTGTATATCTGCATAACTTAATTCTAAAAGTGAGCTATTTCCATGAAAGAACATACCCCACCTGTGCTATTTATATTCACTGAGCTGAGACTTTATTCTCAACAGGACACAAAATAACTAAAATATGAAACTGTACAGATATTACTATCTAGTTCTTATGCAGATATAAAAAGTAGGTCTTGGAATTAAGTTAAAAGCACTACCCCATTTATACGTTTGTTTGTTTTTCTCGCCAGTGCTAATACCCTAAATCCAGGTAACCAGCACAAAATAAAACTCACTTTTACAAATCTGTAACTAAAAATGTTTTGCAAACATCTATTCAAATACATGTTACTTGCTGCATTAAAGCATTTGATGTTACAATAGTAAGTTGGATGAAAACTTCATAGAGCTTCAGTTCCCTCCACTCCTTTTTAGTTTACAGAGATCAAGTTAGTTGTAAAATTCATTGCATTTCTCTTGTTCTCAGAAGACAGAAAGACACACTGAGCTGGAACGGGCCATCCATAGTCAGCAGTGGTTCTTCATACGAAGATCTACTAACTTCTTTGGATATATTTTATCTTGACAAAAAGCCATCCACTCATACTGCCCTGAGCTAAAAAGCTGCCATCATTGCTATCTGTGGAAAGCTGGTGTCATGTGTGACTATATTTGCAAAGTACATTAATTTGAAACATATTCCTCTATTTTTTTTTTCCATTGGTAATTTCCCTCTTCTAGGAATCCTAGCGAAGTTGGCAGCTCATTGTTTTTTCGGGGAATTTTTTTTTCTTTGGCTCCTTTTTGTACAAAAAACAGATTGCAGACAGAAGGTTGTTGTTTTTTTAAAATTCATCCTACTTACTTTGACTACTGCCAAAACAAAAGTTTACTCTTCGGTGAAATTCTCCATGTAGCCCTGCAGTGTTCATCTCTCTGCAAGTAATACTTGCATGACCTACCTTAATATGCTTATCTGAGAACTTCAGAGTCTTTCAGAGAGAGAAAGGCTACAAACCCCACTGCACAGGTGAGAAACTTAAGACAACAAATGAATAAGGTTATGTGTTAAATGAGAACTAGTTCTTCCCTAGACCACCTTGCAGCTCTATGTCTGGACAAGAGTGGTACACCCCATGCGAAGGAAATCAGAACGTCTCACAGCGAGTCCACTCCAGCGAGGGGCATGGCCTGGAGCATTGGGGGGGGGGGGGGGGCAGGACTCCAACACCCCCCACACAATATACTGCTTAGAGGCAGCCTAAACAATTTTCTGTAGATCAGTGAGAGGCAGAACAGAAAATTAAACTCAAATCTTCAAATTCTCTTCTGCTGTAACATATGATGTTACTTCCAAGGAGAAAGAGCAGGAGACTAGATAATGGAAAACATAGGGGAGGAAATGACAGCGAGACTAGTCTGTTGATCCAGTAATGTGATTCTGTGCAGTAGAGGAATAGGAGTTAATAAAGTATTCTGCAGTAAAAAAAGGACAGTAAAACTAGGCCGTAAGAGAAAACAGATAGGAAGGAGCTTTATACTCCAATTTCAGACTAAAAGATATTATTACATATTAAGTAAGCATTATTATGTTCAGAGCATCACAGAATATATCAGATGATATTTCTTGGCTCCAAGGTCTTTGCATTCTAAATTAGATGATACAGTTCTGAGACATAATACATTAGCTTACACCAAACAGGCAGATCCTGGAAAATTTGAAATAGTTTCCAAAGTGCTTTTATTTCTTCCTTTCTTTTAGGAAGATTCTTGCATATCGAGATTGATCTTGTAACTACCACTTAGTTACAAGATTATTTAAACAAGTAATCCACTGACTACAAGGAGATTTTTCGTATGAATAAGGATTTTAATACTGGATCCTGAAAATATTGACGCACAAATAACAACAAACATAGCACAGAAGTTTAAAAAAAAAGGACAGCTTCATTATATGCCATCTTAAGTATTCTAGCCCAGAATCCATTAGGGGATGTGTTAGCAGAGATGCTTAAGTTTACATGGAGTCTCCACCACTAGGAAACACCTTTTTGTTTGTTTGTTTGTTTTTTCCTTCTCCCTGTTCTTACACATACCACAGGATGCAGGCCTGGAATATACCAAATATATATATAAAAAATGGTGAAAAATGTGTTTACACTCAGCATAACATGGCCTCATGGAACCTGGATACGTGTTCAACGTATTAGAACGGCCACTCTGAGTTTGCCCATTTGCTCATCAGAATTGTCAAAAAACTTCCAGTGTAACTGAACGTTGCTAGCAAAGTACTTTTAGACGGACGGCTTCCTTCCATATTCAAACTGTTTTTAAGTTAAAAATGAAAAAAGATGCATCAAAATATACATTTACATGCCAAATACAGCAGGCAATGGGAAAAATGGAGCAGACATGATATCTGTATTCAGGAAAACTTTGTGGTAGCGTTTGCACTACTAAGAGAGCTAAATAATGACAAATGGGCCTCGTTATCGGGATTGCTATAAATAGAGGATTTTTATAAGCAGTGTAAATTGCAGTTACACTATATTTGCAATGCTTAAAGAGTGCCACGCAACAGGACACTTCCAGCATCAGTCACTAAGAGAGTAATAATAGTTCCTTATCAAGTATTTAGTACAATGCTTTTTAAACACTATATTAGACCATCAGTTTTAAACATCCATACTTTTCTGGTGCTTGATTGTTTCCTTTCCATAGCTACAGGCTTTAGCAGTTGGCTAGGGAAAACAAAAAAAACCCAAAACAAACAAAAAAACTCCCCGCAGTGTTTCTTTCCCATCTCAGCTTTCAAACATGCATTCTTTTCAGCCATATTTTTTTGGTTGTTGTTGTTGTTCTATTTTTTGAAAACTATCCAGGTCTGCATGATATCCATTTTAAATCTTCCATGGTGACAAAGACAGGAGGACTACAGTGTAGAAAGTCCAGACTTCAATACTATTAATAATAATGACAATAATTAAAAAGTACACTCCACATACCCTTTCTAAGCACTTTTAGAAATGCACAGCAAGGAAGCTATGCTACAGCAGACAGTGGGAAAGTCTTTCTTTTCCCAGAAATGCTAACATGGGCACAACTATAGGGGTTAAATAATTACCATGGACATTACTTTTCAGTGCTACTTTGGTGGTCAAATAGCTGTGTAAAATTAGAACTCCACTTACCCCTGAGAATTTACGGTCTCATTCGCTTTCTGGAGCAACTGCGATAAAAGAGTGAAAAGTTTTAAGCGCATCTGGGGGTCTTTGTTTGGCTGAAGACATGTCTTAAGAATGAGAATAAAGTCATGGAGAGCTTCACCTATGACAGGACCTAGAAGATAAATGTGTAAGACTTGTTTTGGAGCATTAATAAGTAACTTATTTCATCTTCTATCTAAATGTTTAATATGTGATTCCATTAAGATTCATAAGATGCCTGGCAGTATTTAACTTTCCATTCTTGCATGGCAGCTATTGATGTATTTAGGTTACACAGTGTCAGGCAGTGTACAAATACCCAGGCTAATTCTCCAAGGGCTAGCCCAACTACCAGCAGTCTTAGCCACAGCAGTGTCGTGCTCCCCGAAGACTGGTTTACTCTGCTTCTCATTTAGAGCCAGCTTGGTATTTTTATGCTACATATCACTAATATGTCCACGCCACATGATACAATCCGCTACTTGCTGGGATCAGCACGGGACAAGAGGACATTTTGGGTGGACTAATCAGTTTTGGGGAACTAATGCTGTTTGCTATTTAGCTCTTAGAGCTTAATGCTGTGCACAAAGTTCTGGCTTTATTGAACTTAATAGAGAAAAAAAAAACCCCAAAACTGAATCTGGTATGACCATGATACAACTCCCAACAGCAGAACTAGCTGCTAGGAGAGGATGGAGCGGTAACCTAAAGAACTTGGAGCACTCAGAGACCAAACTTGTTAATTCATTGTTATTCAGAAGTGAAGTAACAAGAGCTGTAATTACAGTCAATATACAAGTAAAATCAAATGCAGCAAAAAAAAAATTATAAGCAGTTTGCTATCAACTGCTTTTCTCTAGAGCTTCAACAGTTTTATTTTCTTGTGATACACATTCCATTGAACCCCAGTCATTCAGAAAATCCTCCCAGAAAAAGACACAATACTTTGGCATTTCTGATGACAAGAACTTTCTGTGTCTTGGAAAAATGGATGGATTGAAGTATTCAAGATTCCAAAACAAGTTCAATAACATTGAATTACATCTGGAAATGTACTGTTCAAAACTCAAAAAATCCTCAATGTCTAGACTTAAGCAAAACAGGGTGCTAAGCTGCAATTTTCTAAATTTCCATGCCAACAAACAGATCTTTATTTTCATAATATTTATTCAAAATACATTGCTTCATGCAAGTTCTGAGGCATTGTTAAGATACTGCTATTACATCAAACTGATAACGGCAGATTCAATAGATGGAAAATAAACAAAGTAATCTACATCACTAATTTCAGTATAAACTTACAATCCTGAAAAAACAATAACAATTGAGAAATTAGAAATTTGCAAGTCTGATTCAATTGATTAAAAACAACATTATATGTGAGAATGAAAAAAAAAAAAATAGCTCTAGGAGCTGCTGCATCAGACAGAAAACACAGACAATAGCATATTACCAGTGTGGGGTGCAAGCCAAAATGTTTGCCCAGACATCTTATGATTTATTTGCCATTAAGCAAAACAGAGACAACTGTCTAGAAGTTCCTCAGACATGGGAAGGGTAGTGCAAATATACAGAAACATTGGCCACCCAGAACTTGTACTGAAAAACTTTTTTTTCTACAGATGAAAGGAATTTGTACTTATGCTGGTTGTTGTCAAAGTGTGACGGCGGGTGCCTCAAATATGCTTTTTGAGGCTTTTTTTTTGAGATTAAAGACTAAACGTGGAAGATAAAGTTAATTAAAACATATCCATCCACATTTAACTAACAGCAATATAGATACTTGTAACAGAAGTAGATGTTTATATTCCCTTCATAGTCAACAGAAAAGAAAAAAAATAAATAGGAGTTTCCTGAGAGTAATATTTTAATGAACTCAAAACAGATAGATGCCTAGGTCAAAAGAAGTAACCGCCACTGCCTCCCTTGCCTGTAATTGCAATTTGGATGGCTGCCTCAGAGGTATCTTTACTGCGGACATCTAAAGGTAGGCAAAATACATCCCAAAATGTTTCACTAACCTATACAAAGTAATGCATAGTATTGCTAGTGTGTTTGGGAATATAAGTGAAGAAAGATTGGTACAGAGACCTAGTATCTTCTATTAGACTAGTGACTAGGTTGGGGAAGAAAAAAAAAAAAGAAAAGAGATAAGACAAGATGCGTCATTTTGTCTCCCTATAATTCATACCTGCCTCATTAACCTGAAAGTTTAGTGTTACACAAATGCTTTTAATATACTCCAAGCAGCTGACATTCCAAAAGACTCCTTGGCTGCATCAACATTTCATTTCTGCTTTTCATCATATGCTTGTTGTTTCTGAATATCAAACTACATATTACAAACCACAATGTATCTGCAAGCTACGGAGATTATTACTTTTTTTATTTTTTCAGAACTAGATGAGCCATCACACTACTAAATAAGTCATACCTGAATGCGTTGCGATGATATCTAACTGTAATAATTCTGGAGAATAGCAGGTCCAACAATTATGGGATACTGAAACCCATTCCATAAGCTGAATTATATGCTGTTTGTAGAGATAAAGAAAATCATCCAACTGCTGCACTTTAGCTAATGAACACATTGTTTCCTCTACCTGTTAAAACCAGAGACGAGATATTTCAACTTAACTGGAATAATGTTTAAAGAAACAAAACCCCACTTTTTAAAATATATGATTGTACCTTTAAGAACAGAAGTGACAAGAAGATTTCTGTATTTTCTATTTGGATGATCATGATTGACATATAATTTCTTCCCATAGTAAACTGTTAACTTTAAATTGAAGCAGAATATATGTCTTGACTTCAAAAATGATTATCATATGGAACACAGCAATGCAATAGCAGAATGAAAGAATCTCTAAGCCATGTAAGAACTTCTTAAAATGAACCAAATTACAAATCAGTTCCTATTAGATTAGTTTTAGAGCTGTAGTGATTTTCTTCTAAACTTAAGAATGCTTTAAACACTTATGTAAAGATGATTTCTCATAACTACATCTAGCTGGATACGGCACCCTCCATGAACTATTGCTGCTATGACACAAAGAGGACATGGCTTTTTTTTTTTTGTTTTAAAATTATGTGAGATGCTATCTCTTTCCAGTAGCTGGGCAGCTTCATTATGAGATTTTCAACTTCTGTTACTCAGGAGAAATACCAAAATTCATCATTGCCTTTGAAATATCTTCTTATTTACATTTCGACAATTCCATGAAAAAGGCAAATAAAACATGTACATAAGAGAACCACTAAATGAACGCTAGATATAGTCACGTTAGGCAAGAAAGCATGCATTTCCCTAATCTTATAGCAGACGGATATAAAAGCAGGAGTAAATTTGCTCTTGCAACTCCTGAAGACTCCTTACCAGAAGTATAAAACTTCACTGAGGAACAGATTAAAAGTATGACGGAATCAGTATCTATAGTTTTACTGGTTTCAGCACACAGTGATACAGAATAAGGAGTAAGACGCAGTTAGAACCCTCACAAATTAATAATATATATCACCAGGATGGTCTCTGGTTTTTGCAGTGAAAGATGTAGTGTGGCACTGTGAGTGACACCATTTGACTTTAAGTGGTTCAGTAGAACTAAAAATTGTATTCATATTTTTAATACTTTTAAATTCATCTCAGCTGGACAAGTTCACTAAAGCATGTCTGGGACCTTTAGAATATTGCAGACTAATCACTTGCCAGACAAAAACCTTATTATGAAAGTACCAGATGTGGAGAAAATAGATATTTCTAAGGAAAAAAAACCATCAAGATTTGCTAAGGACAAAGGCTACTCTTAAGGCAACTATGTCTGCCTCAAGCATAATGGATTTCTCCTTCCTTGAAAAGTTCTGTCAGCCAGTCAAAACAACCTGAGATAGCTTGTATCTAAAATACGCACTTACCTGTAAATAAATCATAACGTTTTACCTGGGAGAATATGTCCACGACAGAAACTATTCCCCATCACCGAATAAATACTCCCTAACTCTTTCTTTTTTTTTTCCTCCCATTAAACAACCAGAGAGGTACAAGGTACATGTACAAGTTACATTTATAACCAAGGGATACAATAGCAACACTGTTCACAGGTGGTTCAAAATAAATCATTAAGTTTTATGTGTGCAATAAAAAACAGGAGATAACAATTCTATCCACTGACAGATATATGCATACTTTCTCATCCAGTCTTTTGATGCCTCTCAGTTCAAAATTAGCAAGTGTGATTTTATTTTCTATATTTCAAAACTATCAAGTTTAATGATGCATTATTTAATCTAATATTCAACCTGTATCTAAACAAGAACCAAGACAGCACAGCACTCTAGCAATAAGCATAAAAGCATAAGGTAGGTACACACAGACAATGTACGTGTACTGTACATACCTAACAGACTAACAGCTGATACAGCTCCAGTCTTTTGGGGGCTATAAACTATAATCCTCACCATGATATCCGACTGCTCAGTTGGTGGTCTTGACCCTTTTCCTTAGGGCAAGCAGCCCCAAGCAAGGGCCAAAAATCAAGCAAGTAGGAAGAGCATAACATTCACTCGCAATCAGATTACATTGATGGAATATCAGTTGCGGCTTCAGGTATCTCCCTGATCTTCTGTCTCCTTACATTATAGCTTGAATTGAGGTTCTATAATGCAAATGTGTGAATAATTTATGTTTATACTCCAAATCTTTTGATCTTAAATACGTAAATCTTTTCTGAACAACAAATTTCTACTTGTAAAGCTAAATGTAAACCATTTGTTCTATACGGTCTTAAACTATTTTGAGAGAGACTTCTTGGCTTCTGCAAGCTGTACCACACACTTTGAAGTTTTAGGATACTGAGTAATCAGAGGTTAAAAAAAAAAAAAACTAGCTGTATTTGTCTTTGTGACAAACTTGAAATATTGCAATTATGTAATCTCGCTGCCAGAATCCCTATCTGTCTAGCTGAAAGTAAGGCTAATGTGAACAAGGATTTTCATCCAAAGTACTGTCAACTTTGAAAAGTCATCTGTAAATCCAGGAACATCCTAAACCTTTAATAATCTGGGGAGATTAAATTTGCCATACATGAAAACCAGGATTTATCTCAATAAACTGCTTTATTGGTAGGAGAATGAATTCGTAAGCTTTTAAATGGGCATTGTCCACTTTATAGACCACCGTAGGGCTAAAAAGACAAAATATACCTAGACGAATCTGTCTGAGGCTTGGAGAGGGCAGAGGGCAGAGGCAAAAAACCCCACTCTCACACTGGCTTTCCTTGAGACAGGTCTTTCTGCTGTACCTCTTTGTCCCATAAACTCTTCCTAGTATTTGTTTTGAGCTTTGTTCCATTTCGCTGATTTCAGAACAGTTTTCTAAGAGCGTGTCTATTTGGAGGTAGCCTGTCAGCTACGGGGCCGTAAATACTGAAGGTACACAGGCCTATGGAATACCAGGCCCAGGAGCAAGAGAAAAGGAAGTAAAAAAGCCATCACATTTACGGAACATTTGGGGGTAGGAGGGGAAAAAAATGAAGGGTGGGGAGGGAAGCTTCATTAGGTCATGATTATACTACATGAGGATGGCTTGCTGATTTATTTGATATGTAGCTTGGGGAAATAGGAAGAAGAGAGAAACAAAGGGAGTGAGATAAAGCTTAGACAAAAAGCTCATCTACTCTCAGAGCATCTACAGATATCCTTGACTTTAAAGCATTCCTACAACATCTAAACTTTTGGTTCAAGTGAGAAGTTAAGAGGTCAACTACTGTAAAATCAGTCTGAGGTTTGACTTAACATTAAAAACAAAAACCCCACAAACACACCCATACACAATTATGAGACTATCACTTTTTTTAGGCTAGTCATGCTCTTGATCTAGCTGTAACTATAACAACCTGCCACATGCCTGCCACAAATTAAAACAGAACTAAGGCCTTTCTCAGAACCAGCACAAATTCTAACTCTATGGGCCTTCAGCCAAACTTATAAACCTTCTCAAGATCTGCTTCCCAAATCTCACCTCAGTATTCACTAGATCTACTGAGCCCTATCCACCTAAGACTTAACAATAAATATTCTACAATGTCTCATTATATCCTTTGGAAGAGTTCAATGACAGCATTACTCTTGTTGTATCAAATCCTAACACAAACCTGAACTACAGCTCCAACTCCTTAATCATAATTCAGAAGTGCTCACGCACATCAGAACTAACTTGAAACTGGAAGCCTTTGCTCGCACAAGCTCTCAGCCTAGTTTTGCGAGGCTGGAAAGATGCAGCCTGTCTTACAGCAAGCCACAATGTAGCTACTGATCCTAAATCAATCCTAGGCTTAACCATTCTCAGCACATGAGCAATCACCAGGTATTCTGTGTCTGCTGGCACCAAACCAAACAGTGCATTTAACCAAACCCCAGCAATCATCCAAATCCTGGAAGCTTTTCAGATTCAGTAAGAAATGTAGATCTCCAGCCTCTGCTGTCCTGAATTGTGATCCAAACTCCAGGCTTAACTCTGCTATTAACCATATACAAAATGTACAGTGAGTTACACACGCCCTTGAACTAGCCACAAGCTATTCCTCCCTACTTCTAGGGCCAACCTTTCAGCTTAAGAGCCTTACAAGATCTAACAAGAAAGTCAACTCTAAACTTTCTTGCCTCAGTAATATCCTTTCTTGTCACACCAGCCGGACTGAGGTATTAATCAGATTTTTGCAGACCACACTTATGCAGGAGTTAATATGTGCCCTACAAACATCACCATACATCTTAGTCGTATGGTACTTGCAAGGTGTAACAGTACATTCAGCTTTTTTGCCACCACTGTTGCCCTAGACTTTAACCTCAACTTTAATCCCATCCTACTCCTAGCATAGCTGTCTTCCAGTTCCATTAAAAAAGTAACCTTTAAGACACTAGCCTCTGTCTCTACTAATCTTCATCACAGTCCTGGGGATTTGCAGGATCCAAAATTAAACAGAGATCTTCATACTGCTGTCTGGAAATAGCTGCAGCACCTAACGACCACAAACAGTTTGATCTTTTACTGGCAAAGTAGAAATGCCAATATTTTGACTGACAAAAGATAGCATTCACAGGTCTCTCAGGCTTCTCAGTTACTTCTAAATATTAAGTAACCTCCAGAACAGCGCCAGAGAGATGTTTGCAGAGGAGTTTTATGGCTCAACACAGAATCCAAATCAGATGTGTAACCACGGAGTTCGGAGCATTCCCTCATGCTTTTTTCATTTTAACAGAGTGAATCTGAACAACTTACATCTATATGTATATCCATCACATTTCTATACATTTGAAAGATTGTTTTATATACTTAAGGTGGACACACACATACACGTGTAGGTGAGAGATTCTTAATCCTGCCTGCAAAATTAGTAGCTTGGTCCAAGCACATATAAATCGGATTTTAATGATTTGGGCTACTGTTCTAATAAGAATCTACTCAGATTAAAAACCAATGTAACTTCAGTCATTGAAAAGGATAGGGCCAGGCAGACGGTACAGTCAAGATCATATAACATGAAATAATTTCTAACTCTACCAATCTTTGTCAATGAGCTCTTAGGGATTCTTGAGGTTCGAAGCCTAACAGAAAAAAAAAAAGAATTACGACTCTATTTAGACAAAACATCTTATCAATAGTAAAAGTCAGAACTGTATAAAAATACTAAGAGTTCATAGTTTACCTTTTCTTTCAGGTGCTGAGAATGTGGTATTGCCATTACCGTCACCAAAACTTTTGTTAGCTGTAAGCTAATTTCTTTGCAGTCTTCCTGGCATACTTCAATCAACGCTTGTACACAACAAAGCAACTGTTCCATGTAAAATACCTATTTTTAGTAAAAGCATAAAATGTAGTATGTTTCGTTAGAAAATATTACACGTTCTCTTTAAGGAAGAGTTACAGTAAATGAAAACAATGAAGTCTGAAAGTCATATAATCTACTAAATCGGGAACACGTTGATCATTTCGTGTTAGTTCTTTTGATGACCTTTATTGTGTTTTTGACAACCCATATTCTACTTTTTATAGAGCACAACATAATCTTCCTCCCATGCCTTTTGCTTCCATTCATCTTTCTGTTAATAAAATAAATGATCATTGTGTTAATTACAGAATTGCTCCACTGTGAACAAAATATCAAATCATTTTGGAATGCGTACCAACAGTACTTTCTCATTCTGAAGTGCAATTTGCTAATTAATAACATGTGTTACATCTCAATCAAATATTGTTCTATGCCTGACTATTTTGAACGGAACAATAATGGTTAAATGAATAAAACAAGAAAACCTCAGGGTCTGCTTTTATCTCAGCCAATTTATCCCGATTGTTGCAATATAACGCATGTTATCTTGATCCCACTGAAATCAATAGAAGTCAATATTCTTGTCAGTTCACAATAGCTTCTATGATTAGGTGCATCAGATATTACATGAGTCTTTCAGATCACATTAAACTTAACACCACCAACAGAAGAGGCCATTGTTTTAACTCTCACTCTCAAAAAAAAAAAAAAAAAAAAAAAAAAAAGCAGCCTAGGAATAGCTTAATTGTAAGTGTTATTAGTCTCTTTGACATGGTCAATCCTTAGCTAAACAGTGCCTGTGCACCATTCACTCTCTAAAGTAGACGATTGTTTTTCAAGACCAGAGGCTAGAACAATTCTGTCAAAAGCTTCAGCTGCAGCTGAATGTGTCTACTGTATATAACGCTAAATGGAAGTGGTGAGCTTGAGGCCTCACAGCAATTCTGCAGATATCAGGGGACTGCTATTTGAACAATCAGGTTATAGTGCTTCCAGTTACATGAGTTCCTAATCATCATAAGCTTCACAGAGATTAAGGTAAATTCTCTGCATCACTGATACACATTCCATTGGGGAAGACGCTAATGAGGGAAGCATTTCAAACATATATCTTACATTGTCTCAAAAGGACAATTACACTAGATTCAGTCCACACACACGAATAACTTCCTTAAAGGGAAGTCTGAATCTGACATAAAGCTTTGAAGACTTTTTTGGAGACATAGCAGTGGCCCTTTTTTGGTTATCTGAAGAGTAGAGGCTGAATAGATTTCTGCTGGGAAAGCTGAGATTTCATGTATGGGGAAAATTGATCCTCTTGTGCATCTGTAACAGCTCTATTTCTAGATCCTGACAACTCCAGGAAAAAGGAGTGAAAAAATCCTGAAAGTTAACAGTTTCCATTGAAGAGAAGCTCTCAGCCTCTCTGTATAACAATCAAGGAATATTCTTCAAATACTAGAACGAAAGCCTTTGTCAGGCTCAGCCTTTACTTATGTGTATACTTGGAAGCAAATTTCTGATTTATAAAGGGTCTTCCTCCTAGGTTCTCACTTAAAGAGAAGCAACCCATGCATGATCTTAAATGTACACGTAAGCGTACTGGTGTGTTCCTTTTAAAATGGAGAATAATAGTACCAAAAAAAAAAAAAAAAAAAACCAAGGGTAAGAAGTAGACATTAAAAGGGAACCTTTCCTGGGAAATCTGACACACCAGTCACTACCAACTGAAAAGCTGTCAGTCATTTTTACTGATGAGGACCAAAACATACGATCTTGTTCGGACTGTGAACACAAAGCATTTCAAAACATGGGTTAAATCCTGCTCCTAGAGCAATCTAGGTAGTTTTACATTAGCACAGTATATACTAAACAGCTTCTGCTCTCCCCCACCATGCTTCCTCATTTTCCTCCCGCTATCCAAAGCATTTTATAGCGGTTCTCAAACTTGGACCTATACCTGTTGAGTGTGTGCTGAGATGATGGATTGTTAATAAGCTGTTGGGAATGAAATAGTAGATTTGACTAGTCAATCACGACTAGGAAAAGAATATAAGAAGGCTTAGGGGGCGTAAGGAAGTTCCTTACCTTGTCTCAAACACATTGCCACAACTATATCCTGAGATAGGGTAGGGTGGGTGTGAAAGACAGAGAAAGGAAAGGGAGCAACTACACGGAAAAAAACAAGTTGAAGAACCACTGATCTAAAACTTGTGACTGTTGTGTGCTTTCCATTTATCCTTACCTCTTCAGATCTTTGACAGACCTCAGCTTTTGACAGTGTGTTGCCAAGATCAGTCAAATGGGGCTTTAAGACTTCTTTCGGGCTACCACGAATCACTGCAGTTAGAATCATTATATAAGATGGCATAGGTGTTTTCTCAAAAGCTGATGTGATTAACCTCAAAGATACCTTAGGGCTGACAAACGTTCCAATCAATTCTGCTGCTTTCACACACTGAAAAAAGAACAATAATAAGAACTTGAGGATTTTTCTGAAAATGAAGTCCTTTCAACATATCATGGCCTTTTTCTTTTTATGATTCCAGCTGTTACTTTAAATACTTCAGCAATTGCCTTGTAGGCCTTTTCACTAACTCAGTAATGATTATAGGCATGAAAAAGTTTTCTTGCCGTGTGTTCAATAAGCACTTAATAAGGCATGCAAGCACTCTTCTCAGCATCAGACTCAAACTGCCATGAGAAAGTAATGTATAGGAATTAAGTATACAACTTCCAGTGTAATAAAGTCTCTAGCTCAGAATAACCAGACGTCCCAGATCTACTGTTCAGATTTTTTCCTCCAAATGTTCCGAGGCTTGCTCTTAATGCACCTACCACCCATTTACTGGAAGTAACAACCCACAAAGCCACAAGGGGAATTTTTTGTTACTGTACTATATTTTGACACTGACATACAGATATGGTTTAGTGTGGACGTACTGCCATGGGACAAGTGACAAGTGCCCACAGCTTTCAGCTTCTTACTCATTTAACTGAAAAGGCTTCAATTATAAGACATTTTGGTATGCTGTATACCCATGTGAAAAGCTATTGCTCCAAAGCTTACTACCTGACTGATGCCCAGTATTTTCAGTCAGCTGCAAAAGAAAGTATGGTAAATGACTGTGCAATTACCTGTGCAACATGAACATTTCCTAATCCCTTTATTTAATGATTAGCTCATTTCCTGAAACACAGTTTATATATATATATATATACATACACACACACACAGAAACAAGTTTATATATAAATGGAAATAAACTTTCAGCTAGTGATTTAACTATGGTTGTTTAATTGCATCTAATTTATCTTTAAATTATGCTAGGTTTTAGTCTCAATGGAAACATGCAGCCATGAGTTCTATAGTTTCAATCTGTACTATGTATAGTTATTTCTTTTCACAAAGGTGAAGACCCAAAAAAGCTAGCAGATACTGTATGTAGATGTGTTTTCACATTTGCCATAAAGAAAGAGAATCTTAGTACTTCATACCAGAAAAAGGACAACACATTTTATCATTAAACAGTTTGCAAATATGAAATGATGCATTTTTAAGGATCTACCTACTCATTTTAACAGGAGGGGGGAAAAAAAAAAAAAGACAAGAGACCAGCTGGAGAACTCTTTAACACCTCATTTGGTATCATTATGCTAGAGGAAGATGTGTACATTTTTCAGCCTTGTGGCTGCTCTGAAATGGATTCTACTGTGACAAAGGATAGGAGACAATCACAGTATCCTAGGAGGCAGCACCATAAAGGAGATAAAAAGCATTCACAGCCAGAATTTGCCGAGTTCTAAATTTTGGCAGAGAAAAGAATAAAATTAAACACAAATCATCTCCTAAGCAGGAATTAAGTCTCTTGGAAGCACTTGTGAAGAGATTAGTGGTGGGATTTGAAGAAAGAGACAAGTATGGTCATAAAAAGGAAACGAAAACTGTGCTGATGGAACATATACTTTTGAATTTGTATCTATGGAAACAAAGATTGTAGGAAATTTGACCATGATAGCATGACCATATAGGTTTATTCTTCTAGTTACTTAAGGTTTTGTTATGTTTTATACGAGCACTAAGGAACCTGAAAAAACACATATCCACAACAGCCTAGTATCTCCTAATTCAGAGGGTGAGAGAATGTAAACAAGTGCATCT